CCCGAAACCCTAAACCCCTGAAACCCTTCATTCCCAAAAAAACCGCAAGACTGGGGGAAGAGCTTGGCGCCGGGGCGCGAGGCCTTGGAGGGCGTCTTTGGAAGTGGGGCGTGCATTCCGGGGGTTTCCGAACATGGGGGGACCCTAATTGTAGTACCCTAAATAGTAGGGGTTTAGGGTTTAGGGTTTAGGGTTTAGGGGTTTAGGGTTTAAGGTTTAGGGTTTAGGGTTTAGGGGACCCTATTGTAGTACCCTAAATAGTAGGATTCTTGTTATAAGGACCCCAGAAGAAGGTACCCCTAATTTTCGGAAACTCCCGGATGTTCCTCCTTCCAGCATTGTTCGCATCGTACGGATGCGGTTGGGCGGGGTTGTGACCACAGCCATTCTAAACCTTTTCGGCCGACAAAATTGATGATATTCATGGCAAAGATGGTGGTGATGACGATGACTGACGACTGATGACTGACATCAAATATTATTGCCGCTGAAACTTTGACTTTTGCAGTATTGCCATCATCGAAGCACCACCAGCACCAGCAGCTGCAGAACAGTAGCAGTAGCGGCAGCAAGATCAATTGGAGCAGGAGATACAAGGTTTGCAGGAAGTACAGGTGCTGTGGTGGTACCAGCCGTCGTCACCGACGTCGTAGCGCAAGAGCGGCAGCGGCTGCGCAATTTAAACTTGAGGCTCCGAGGAGCTGTCAAGATGTACAGTTTGGGCTCAACGGCACGTGGGGGTTTGACATTTGGTGTCGAGAGATTGGGCATGGAAGCATGAACGGTTGCCGGATCAGATAGTGCTTAACCCCGGAAGCCTCAAAACCCACAGTTTCTCCCAGATTTCGCATCCCGAACTAACGGATCAGAAGATGAACCCAAAGACCTAAAATGCCTGAAACCCTTGCCCTGGCAACCCCAAACCGCAGAACACCAAAACCCCTGAACGCGAAAACCCTGAACCCAGCAACTCCATGTCTGAACCCGAGCCCTACCCTAAACCCTAAACC